TTTGAACAGTATTGATGATTGAACCTAGTGGCACTCTACCACTGAACTAAATACTCAGTCTTTAATTTGGGGGGATACCAGGGATTGAACCCAGGGACACTTAACCACTGAGCCAAATCTCCAGTCATTTTGTTGTTGTTTAATGTTTTATTTATTTATTTATTTGTTTATTTGGTACTGGGGATTGAACTCAGGGGCATTGGCCACTGAACCACATTCCCAGCCCTATTTTGTATTTTATTTAGAGACAGGGTCTCACTGAGTTGCTTAGTGCCTCACCTGGCCATTGCTGAGGCTGGCCTTGAACTCCTGATTCTCCTGTCTCAGCCTCCCGAGCTGCTAGGATTACAGGCGTGTGCCACCATGCCCAGCTTAATGTTTTGAGACAGGATCTCGCTACGTTACTTGTAACTCCCATGAATTTTAACTTGTGTGTATATTGTATTTTATACTTGCCTCAAGACATACATTTTCAGTCTCCTCAAAATTCCCTGGTGCCAGAGCCTGAAGTGGCGGCATACACCTGTAATCAAAGTCACTTGGGAGGCTTAGACAGGAGAATTCCAAGTTCAAGGCCAGCCTGGGCAATTTAGCAAGACCCTTTCTCAAATTTTTAAAAAAGGACCTGGAATGGGGCTGGGGCTATGGTTCAGTGGTAGAGTGCTTGCCTAGCGCATGTGAGGCCCTGAGTTTGATCCTCAGAACCACATATAAATAAAGGTATTCTATGCAACTACAACTAAAGAAGAAGAAGAAGAGAAAAAAAAAAAAAAAAAAAGGACCCGGGATGTAGCTCAGTGGTAAAGTGCCCCTGGGTTCAATCCTGAGCGGGGCGGGGTGGGAGGGGGGGAGGAGAAATAAAACAACAACAAACAATTCCCTGGTGCCAAACAAGATGATCTTGAACAAAGGCACAAAAGTTCATTCCTAGTTCTGAGTGGAAGTAGAAAATGAAGTAGAGTTAAAGATGACTGATTCCAAACTTGGGCTGCTGGGCAAATTGCAGGGTGATGCTCTTGACCAAAACAGGTAACTCAAGGGTTAGGATCAGGTTTTAATTGAGGGAAGGGTTAGGATTGTGAGATAAGAAGTTTAGCTTTAGATTTGTTGAGTTTCCAGTGCCCATGGGATCTAAAAGCTGATTAGGAGGCAGGTAAGTATGTAAGTGGGAGTTCTGGAAAGAAATTTGGGATTTCAGTGTATATTATATATTCATTAACATGTAAGGTGTATTTGAGAACTAACAAGTAGATGAGGATTTGCTGGATGTTATGACAGTGGGCATGTTCTGCTTCTAACTCTGTTGTAGTCCAAATAGTGGATAAAATCAGTGGCAAAACAGTATGCATGTTTTAAAAGTAAAACAACAAGTGAAAATTCAGTAGTATGTACTTATTGTAAAAAAAAAAAAAGAAAAATCAAACTGGTTTACAAGATTGTGAGAAGTATCCTTTCTTCCCCCATCCCATTTCCTACTCTAATTCCTTGTCTGTCTCCTTTCAGACCATTTTAGGGCATATATGTATTACGGTTGCTCTTTTGCTTGTATTTTTCCATTATTGCTTTGGTCACGAGTGACTTTTCAGCCTCTTAGTAACATGTTGACAGTCTAGAGGCACATGGATAAAATACTGTTTGATTTTTTTCTCTCCCGTTGCCCTGTAATGTGTTTTTTTTTTTTTCTTGTTTGTTTGACTTTTGGTACCAAGGATTGAACCTAGGGGAGCCTAACCACTGAGCCATATCCCCCACCCCCCCCCCCCCCCCCCCCTTTTTTTAAACATCTATTCCTCTAGTTATGGGTTGACACAATACCTTTATTTTATTTATTTGTTTATATTTATGTGGTACTGAGGATCAAACCCAGTGCCCCACGCATGCTAGACAAGTGCTTCACCTCCAAGCCACACCTCAGCCCCCAGTCCAGCCATTTTATATTTTATTTAGAGACAGAGTCTTACTGAGTTGCTTAGGGCCTTACTTTGCTAAGGCTGGCTTTTAACTCACCATCCACCTGCCTCAGTCTCCCAAGCACTGGGATTACAGGTGTGCACCACCAGTAGAATAGTGTGTTTTATGGTGGTGTGCTTGTAGTGTTGACTTAGAAAGTTTCTTCCTTTACCTTTTTATTTTATTTTTTTGGCTACCAGGGATTGAACTCAGGGGCACTCAACTGAGCCACATCTCCAGCCCTGTTTTGTGCTTTTATTTAGAGGTAGGGTCTCACCGAGTTGCTTAGTGCCTTGCTATTGCTGAGACTGGCTTTGAACTTGCAATCCTCCTGCCTCATCCTCCTGAGCCACTGGGGTTATAGGAGTGTGCCACCGTGCCTGGGTCACATTTTCTTGATTAGTAAAATTACTGTTCAAGCGAACATACCTTGACATTCATTGGAGTTCTTAAATCTCCCTTGTGTTGTATAATGGGAACATAGTACCACATTCTTGTTTGTTTACCATGAGCATTTCTGTTTACTGATTCTCCAACCTGGAGGGAGTGATGTACTAGTATTTTCTTTGATTACCTTATTGATATTATAACTATTAAGTTAGAATGACTGAAAGACTTATTAAGAGACCTCCTGTTAAATCCAGAATTTGAAATACCATGAAAGAGTTTGTAGCATATGTCTATTTTAGAGTTAGCCTGATTTCATTGACAGTCTGCTTGAGACTAAAACACATCAGCTCTGGGTTCTAGAAACGCCCTCCTATTAATTGATCACTGTAACTTAGTCCCTTCTTTGCCAGGGTACTTGTTTTGAAAGAGCAAAGAGCATGGTGCATATTTTCATTTACACATATTTACTGCGTTCCTATGAGATGTCATTTTCTGTAATAGTAATAACAGGAAATGTTAATAAGCAAGTGTTAACTCTTTGTTAACCATAAATACTCTTCTGGATGCTATGGGTACAGTAATGTACAAAATGGTTCTGGTGCTTTCCCTCATGGGTTAATATATATTTTAAGATGGTGAGACCCTTATTTTGAATCTTGTGAGAGGTAAAATATAACAGAACAAATAATTTTGTTCTTCCTGACTTCTAAGACTTTTTCTCCTGTGAGAGTTTGCCTATCACCTGGTCTGTCCATTCTGGCACTATATGATCAGGTTTGCTAGTGTTTTCATTTAAGCCACACTCCAGGTCACTCTGTAGTTGAATCTTAGTTCTTTTAAAAACACTTGATTTTAAGTAAGACTTTAATAGAACGATACAGTATTTAAAAACAAAATAATGGACTGGGGGTGCGGGTCAGTGGTAGAGCACTTTAAATAAGAAAACGGAAAGCATAGTGGTTTAACTGATTGCTTCCTAGATAATCCAACCTACAGTATGAATTTATTATTCTTGAAGTTCTGGGTGTATCTGAAATAAAGGCAGATTTCTTTACAAGAAATCCACCCACTGCATTCCCAGCATGTAAGTTGGCAGCACATTGGTTAGAGATGATGGAGCACTGTAACTCTGCTGGCATTTTAATGATAAGGATAAGCCTCAGCCTCCCAAGTAGCTGGGACTATAGGCACATGCCACTGTACCCAGCTTAAACGATATTCTATCTTTAGATATGGGTTCATTTCTAGCATTTCTTTTCTAAACATGTTACAACTATATTCTTGCATGAAAGTTTAAGTATTAAATATTGATACAAACTTTCAGGCTTTGGGGGAAAAGACTACTGAATACCTAACTTAGTTTTATAAATAGTTCTCAGAAGTTCTTTTACTTAGACCAACAAATTAAATCAGCACCTCCAAATTCCATCTGCCATGCCTATCTGAATGCTTTTCCTTTGTCAAGTACAATTCTTGTCTTTTTTCAAACTCTTAAATTTGGTAGCATTTTGGCAGCTTTCCAAAACTAACATTACTAGAATGTTATATTCTCAAGTGTCTTGATATGTATTAATATGTGAAAATCAATTTGTATAGCCTGAGAGGGCAAGAAAGGATCTTTTATTCCTTAGAGTCTGCTCAAAACTAGTATAATACTTAATTGACAACTTGCTCCTATTTTTTTTTTTTTTTTTAATGGTACTGGGGATTGAATCCAGAGGTGCTTTATCACTGAGCCGCATCCCCAGTCCTTTTTATTTTTTATTTTGAGTACAGGTCTTGATAAGTTACTGAGGCTGGCCACCTTCCTGTCTCAGTTTCCCATGTTGCTGGGATTATAGGCATGGGCAACCATGCCCCACTTGCTCCTAATAATTTTGATTGACTATCTTTATTAAAGCCAGCTGTTGTAAAATTAAGATTAAAGTTTCAAGGAGCTGGAATAATTGGCCGTGCCACTGCAGCTGGCTTTCTTTCTTCTACTTACGGTGTTGGCCCACACTTACCTAAGCACTTGAGTTTTGTGTATATCTTACTCCTGTTATCACTGACAAAGGTTCATGAGAACCAGGTGTTTCCACAGTAGCTTAGTGCTGATAATTATTTGGAATGATACGAGTGGCCTTAAATATGTATGGTAGTAAAACATCTGCAAATATTTTTGTTTGGAAAACCTAATTTACTTTTGAACTTTTGGTCATTTCATTGGTTAGCTAATAACAGTGTTTTCAGAGTAAACTTTCTCTTTTATTTATGAGAACAAATAAAATTATGTTTTCTGAAATAGCATTTTATAATCTTTCAGAAAATCCAATTATAAAAAATCTAGTGTTAGCTATTGTTAGTTCTTTTCACATTTTTTAACTCTTCATGTGAAGTGCATATGATTTATAAATTTCTTTTTTTATATATATTTTAGTTGTAGATGGGTACAATATCTTTATTTATTTATTTTTTATGTGGTGCTGAGGATCAAACCCAGTGTCTCACACTTGCTAGGCAAGCACTCTACCACTGAAATACAACCCCAGCCCTTTAAATTATTTCTATTAAAAACAAGTAGACCCTACTTAGATCTTAGAGTTTCATTGGACTATACAGTTTTCAAGGTATCTTTTTCTTCTCATGATTGAAGTAAACATTTTTAACTTCCCTTTTAGATCCATCATGTTACAGAAAATGGAGGACTATATAAAAGACCATTCAATGAAGCTTTCGAAGAAACGCCCATGCTGGTTGCCGTGCTCACATATGTGGGTTATGGGGTGCTTACCCTCTTTGGATATCTTCGGGATTTCCTGAGGCACTGGAGAATTGAAAAGTGTCATCATGCAACAGAAAGAGAAGAACAAAAGGTAATTGTTAGAGTCTTTGATTCTTTAAATAGAATTCTTTTATAAAAATGTTAGTATTTTCACACAATTTTTTTTCCTTAGAAATTTGGATACGTGATAAAATAAATATTCCAAATACAGTTAAGTGAAAACATTTTACAAAGAAAGCTGGAAACAAGATTAGAGGCGTGGAGAAATCAAAGCATTTGACATGTTTTTAGTTTAATTACTCTAAGAATGAAATGAAGTTGGCAACACTATCCCTTTTTCATGGATTAGAAAGCTGAAATTCACAATTTAAGCAGGCATCTGAAGATACCTAGTATCACAGCTAGTTTGTGGCCACAGGAATGTGAAGTGCCAAAAGCCATGCTCTCTCTGCTCATGCTTCCTATTTATCCCATGCTGTGTTTATAATTATCTGAAAGATTGTGTCCTTCTGGTGTGTTTTCTCCTGGACACATTATACATTGTTTTTTTTGGTTCCTGGATCATGTTCTTTCCCGAAACAAACAAACGCAGAAACAATGTGTCTGAGCCATTCCTGTGTGAAAGTCATGGTAAACAGAGATGGTAATGTTTGTCTCTGGGAGGAAGACCTCATTCACTTGCATTTTCTATGTATGCTCTTATGTTTTTAGTGCTTTATACCTATTGCAACAAATAGAATGAGGGTAAAAAAAAAGTCTGATTCTACGAAAAAAAAAATTATTTTCTCTTGTCATATGAATTCTAGAGAGATTGTCCTCTGAAGCCAGGGGGATGTACCAGATTAGAGAAGGGCTTAAGATGTTAGTTTTAGGGCTGGGGATGTGGCTCAAGCGGTAGCGTGCTCGCCGGGCATGCGCGGGGCTCTGGGTTCGATCCTCAACACCACATAAAAATAAAATAAAGATGTTGTGTCCACCGAAAAATAAAAAATAAATATTTAAAAAATTCTCTCTCTCTCTTTAAAAAAAAAAAAGATGTTAGTTTTATTTATTGTCCTTCATAGCTCTCCCTTTTGTGGAATGATATCTGAGAGAGGAGGGTTGGGGTCACCACTGTCAGAGGAGCCAGTAGGGGAAGAGAAAGAGTATATCAAGAAAATATGGGAAGAGCTGGGTGTCGGGGCACCTGCTTGTGATCCCAGCTACTCGAGAGGCTGAGGCTGGCCAATTGCTTGAGCTTAGGAGTTCCAGGCCAGCCTAGGCAGCATAGAGAGAATGTGGGAGAGGAGAGGAGAGGGCCTTGTCAGCTACCAAGACAAAATCAACCATTATATGTGTGGTTTGAGAATTCTGGCCCCTAAGAGAACTCCGGATCAGACATCTTAGCTCCTCTCAACCATTTTGCACTTCTTTCCCAGCCATAATGCCACAAGTTGGCCATCCTTACTCATAAAGGAAAGTGGTTCCTGGGCTCAGACAGGAGGATCTCGAGTTCAAAGCCAGCCTCAGCAATGGCAAGGTGCTAAGCAACTCAGTGAAACCCTGTCTCTAAATAAAATACAAAATAGAGCTGGGGATATGGCTCAGTGGTTGAATGCCCCTGAGTTCAATCTCCAATATCCCCCTCCCCTCAAAAAAAGTGGTTTTTAAAAAATGCTGAATGTGAGCAGAGCTCTGTATGCAGAACTCAGTCCATCATTGAAAACTCAAACACATTTTTAAATTTGATTCTTCATCTATTCTGTTTATGATTGCATCCACCTAGAATTTTTGCATCCACAGTGTGTTTGTCCATCCTTCAGTTATGGCTTCCTGTACACTTACTGTGTTAGACAGTGTTTCATTTACTTGTTCACAGGCTAATCTACTAGACTGAACTGATGGTGGTTGTGGATGGTGGCTAATATCTTGTTTATAGTGTAGGCAAAGACATGAGTAATATTTGGGAAAACTTGGAATGCGGATATATGAGAAATTGTTTTGAATGTCAAATGAGGAAGCTGGTAGGCAGAGAGGAGTTGAGGGCAGTTTTTGAGTGGGAGAGTGACTGGGCTTACACAGCTGGTGCTCAGTGTGATGAGTGAATGAAACAGTAAAGATACATCTGAGGGGCTGGAGTTGTGGCTCAGTGGCAGGGTACTCACCTAGCATGTGTGAGGCTGTGGGTTCCATCCTCAGCGCCACATAAAAATTAATAAATAAATTAAAGCTATTGTGATCAACTATAACTGAAAAATAAATATTAAAAAAAGATACATCTGAGTTACTTTGTGAATGAGTCATTATCTCTGGAACTTGTTTCATGTCTTTAGAGAGTAAATTCACTGTTTAGATATTGGAGGCTGCTCATGTGTACGTCATTTTATATGAAATTATTAGAATATACAGATTTTATTAAGTAGTTTCTAATTTTGTTGAGGAAACAGACTCTTCATACTTAGCACCTTCAGAAAACCATTATGCAAATAAAGAGGGCTCGAATTATAAGAAATTGTAGAACGAAAGTAATCTGGTAGTATAGGGTTAACTAGGAAATAATTCTTGGAGGAAATAATAAGAGGAAATCATGAGGGACAGAGGGGACATTTGCCTCTACGGTTTATTCAAATTTATTTCAGTGGGATTTTCATGATTACATCAGCAGTTAATTCAATTAAATGCTGCCATTTTCTTATAAAATTCAGCTTTTAGAGGAAAGGAAGGCTCATTCAGCCTTATGATGGATCATGTTTGTTTCTCCTGCTAGAGAGAAGTGGGGAGAGGAGTAGATAGACTTCAGTGATAAACGGCAAGGAGAATGAGCTGGTTGCTTAGGATCATAAAATGCAAATATGATGTTACCACTTCCTTGCTGACCACATCCTGATTTTCTTCCTCATTCTGTTACAAAAAAGCCCAACTTACTTATGTTAATTATTCTTTATAGGGAAACACCAAGTATTGTTTTGGGTAAAACTAAATTGCATGGTCATACTAATAAAGATGAGTTTATTATTGGGCTCAGTGGTAGAGTGCTTGCCTCTAATGCGTGAGGCCCTGGGTTCGGTCGCCAGCACCACATAAAAATAAATAAAAATAAAGATATTTTTTTAAAAAGATGAGCTTATTCTGTTTCATATAAATTGCGTAAAATTCTAGGAATTTCTTTCCCCCATCCTTTTCTCTTATTAGTGGTGTTTTGGACAAGAGTGTTGTTTTTCTCAGCTTAGGGTTTCTCTTTTTTGTGCATACTAGGCAAGCACTCTACCACTGAACTACATTCTCAATTTATTTCCTTTTTGTGTGAGGTGAAGCTGGTAGTCCAGAAATGTGTATTCAATCGATATAGCAAAAGCTTGAATTAATAATAATGTTCTAAGATAGGAAATACTTAGAAATCTAAGCAGCAAAGTGTGGTAGGTGGTTACCACATTAAACCGAAAACTAACGTTTTGCCTCCATAGTGTATTCGTGGTCTGATGTTCAGAAACAGGACAGATGTATATATCCACATCCAGATACATTTAATTTTCAACACACAAAAGAAGGAAATAGATTGAAATCCAGTAATAAGAGTTCTTGTAAGGATTTTTTTTTTTTTTTGAGAAAACATGTACAGTTATATTTTATTTTTTTTAGGATTATATTTTTTAAAAAATATTTTTTAATTGTAGTTGACATAATACCTTTATTTTATTTATTTATTTATTCATATGTGGTGCTGGGATCGAACCCAGGGCCTCACATGGGCCAGGTAGAGCACTCTACTGATGAGCCCCAGCCCCAGCCCCTAGGATTGTATTCTTGATCTTCTTCAAAAACTAGTTTAATAAGAACATTCTGGCAGTTGTCATTTTAGCAGTATCTTAGGAAACTCTGCTTGCAGTATAGTTGTCTATAGAGTATTAAACTAGAGGATTGGACAGTTGGCTTGTCTTTTTAATTTTTTAGATCATTCCACACTTAAAAAGCATAACTTTCCATCATTTTGTGTTAAAAGTGGGGCCAGGATAGCTGTCATTTTTCTGTGTGTGTGTGTGTGTGTGTGTGTGGTGCTGGGGATTGAACTCAGGGGCTCACATGCTAGACAAGTGCTGAGTTGCATCCCCAAGCCAGCAGTCATGATTTTAAAAACACTTCATTGAAACATGATTTACATACCATAAAGGGCGTCCTATTTATTTTTAGAACTACACAAATGAGTACTATGATCTAATTTGGTAACATTTTCATCACCCCAAAGAAAAAAACCTGTATCCATTAGTAGGCACCTCTTCCTTACCTCCCTCTCATCCCAGGCAGCCACTACTATACTTTCTATCTGTGGATTTCTGTTATGCATATGTCACATGAATGGGATCATATGATGTGTGATCTTGTCTGTCCCTTTCACTTGACATGATGTTTTTGAGGTTTATCCATGCTGTAGCAGGTACCATTACTTAATTCCTTTTTATTTCTGAATAATATTTCATCATATGGAATCTCATTCATTCATCTCTTTTTATTTATTCTGGGTTTTTTTTTCTCCATAAGAAGCTATGCCCTATAAAATTTTCAAAAAGTTTGGTAGTGCGTTTAGCACTTTATCCTTTTGTACTAAGAGTTTTCCCATCACCTATTGGGGTTTTTTGATGAAAGCAACAGTGCAGTTTTTTTGTTTGTTTGTTTGTTTGTTTTAAGCAAGGTCTTATCTTTTGAATTTTTAGGTTTTGATCAGATTTTCTTTGCATAAAGCAATTGGAGCTGTTTATTACTATGATTTTTAAAGTTTAATAAGCGGTACCCTCTTTGTTCTGAGTTATTCCAAGTTTAAGTTGAGTCTTATTGGAATGATAAAGCTATTTTAAAATGTTTACCTAGATGAAAAAAAAAGTAAAAAATAATAATAGAATTCATGGGTCCCTGAGACTACCCTCAGCAATTTTCAAATTCCAGTTTAAGAAAACATGTTGAAGTTTTGTTAATATTTTTTGTTTTTTTTTGGGGGGGGTGTGTGAGGGGGTGGGGGTGGGTGTTTGTTTTGGTTTGGTTTTCCTGAGAAGGGGGTCTTGCTCTGTTGCTTAGGTTGGCCTCAAACTGGAGATCTTCCTGCCCAGCCTCTCAGATAGT